CTGCTCTGGTATAACCATTTGAACTTGCTAGATCAATAGGCAAAAATGACACCTTGGTCACATCGATGCCACTGCGTAACCGCGTGAGTCCTGGTGGTAGGTTCTTGCATAATACTGGGACTGCTATGGTAGTTAATGTATTTACCCATACAAGGTAGATAAATACCCATAATGAATTAATATAATATTTATTAAGCAACATTTTTTTGGCTAAAATTAAATGTTTACAATAAATGTGAATAGTAACTTGACAATAAGCTTTATATACTTTTACGATAATTGCAATATCATTGTGTAGATTATTAACTAATAAAACTATTACAACAAAAAATAAAACTACAAATTTAGTTATAAAACTATTGCAACAAAAATAAAAATAATCTAGAGTAAATAAATTCTCAGCGTATGTATTTAGTATTTGACACGTTATCGAGATTATAAAACTATTACAACAAAAAATAAAACTACAAATTTAGTTATAAAACTATTGCAACAAAAATAAAAATAATCTAGAGTAAATAAATTCTCAGCGTATGTATTTAGTATTTGACACGTTATCGAGATTATTGACAAACAAGTTAGATGTAAAAAACAGTGTTTTGTAGTATTTGTTTTTAAGTTGAACCATTTATATATTAATAAACAAAGTGCTTGACTTGCGATAAAACTGGGATGTAACTTTTTGTTTACTATAGATTAAGATTATATTTATTTTGATCGTATAATGAATATACTGTAAATGAACTACGAACCAGTATATTGTGCTGATAAATTCAATTCGTAGAAAATAGCATTTATTTATTGCCTTATTGTTTACTGTAAATTTATTTTAATCCTTTGTTTAATAAAAATAAATTAATTCATAGAAAATACTATTTATTTATTATATTATTGCATATACTAAAAATATTTTAATGTCTTAATGTAATAAACTTAATACAAATGTAATTCAAAAGTAAATTTTGATTAATAATTAATTTTAATTTTATTAAATAAGTAGCATGCCAATTTCATCCACAAATACTTGCAGTGCCTTAGCTTTCAACTCTCCATTAGACATTTGAGCAAGCTCATTATTGAGCTCAGTAAACTCAGTCTCAACCAAATCATGAAACTATANATTTTATTAAATAAGTAGCATGCCAATTTCATCCACAAATACTTGCAGTGCCTTAGCTTTCAACTCTCCATTAGACATTTGAGCAAGCTCATTATTGAGCTCAGTAAACTCAGTCTCAACCAAATCATGAAACTATAGAAAACAGTAAAAATAATAAATTTTAAAATAACAATACTTCACAAATTACGTACCAATATATGCAATGACCCCCAAAAGGTATCGCCCTTTTTACGTATATAATCAGAGGCCCACAAAATAGTCTTTAGTATTTGTTTCTCTATATTATCTAATTTTTGAGCCAGGTTCTTTTCAGTATCCCTGACCTCGAGCACATTTTTACGTCTAACATCCAGTTTCTCGCCCATCCACCGATACTCCTCAAAACTGATCCCGAGCATATAGTAGTTCATTTTGCGTATGGTGGCGTTATGGGGCTGGTAGGCGTCAATGACTGAAAATGCGGTAGGCATATATTTTGTTGCTCTAGTTATGAAACGTTGATAAAATCGGTCGACAATGTCCAGCCCCTGGAGTTTGTATTTGAGGCCCTGGAGTCGCATCATAGCTATCATTACGTCGATGTTAGCGTTGCTTAACTCCTGGGTCTCGTCAATGGACGCCTTGTCCCACACTTTTAGGGTCTTCCACCGGAAGTCCATCTTATCGGATGTGGGGCTACAGGTGACTGAAATGAATAAAGAAATTAATTTATAATTTTTGAGAGAGAGAGAGAGAGAGAGAGAGAGTAAGCCTTTTAATCAAAATGTTAATTATTAAACTTATTTATAAAGTTACCAATATAAATTGTCAACATAAGTGTAAATAAAAAACTTAATAAAAACTTCATATTTATTTTTGAAACGCTACTGTTGTAAAGTAAACATAATCATTTTCTATTTATATACAGCATGTTATTATTTTTTGCACTCAAATGTAGTAGAACCAATGTTATCACATAATACCATAATCCATTTTAGTGATAGTATTTTTAGACATTTAATGAAAATATGATATAATATTTTCTACCCTAACCAGGCCCATTAATAACATATAAGCATTTAAATAAATGTTTCACTATTAAAATCAGTAAAACCTTAATTATTACTAGTAAATTCAACGAGTTTAATTAAATCACTGATCGGATAACAAGTTCGCTAATATTTTTAAAATATTTTGTAATTGATATTGATAACCTGTCTACCTTTATGTAACTAATCACATTAGAAATATTTGTTTGGTTTTATGTAACAACAGTCCTTATAAGCCTATGATATTTTATTAAACAATTTTAATATTTTTGAAACAGTTTTATATATATAAATCTAAAATAAACAACATGGTCATTTTACATTGCATAATTTTTATAAGGTCTTTTATATTAAATTTTAATTTACATTTAAATGTGCACTATAAATTATAACCTTGTCAAACAACATTAAATTTTCATTATTTGGCAATTAGTAATTTTTAGTAACATATGATAATTAAATTTTAAAAATTAAAAATCAATATATCGTCTTAATTTACAATATATTTATATAATTCTATAATATTTCTTAATTTTGATATCCATTTAAATTTACAAAATACCAAGCTCATCAATAAACACTTGCAATTCCTTAGCCTTTAACTCACCACTGGGAATTTTATCCAGGTCATTGTTTAAAATCGTAAATTGATCTAGAACTAAATCATGAACCTATTTTTATAAAAAAATATAATCAATTAAATTATACAGGGTGTTACACAAAAAAACGTACGATTATATGAATAGCTCCCCTCAAGTTATTCGACTTTTTATTTCGTATGTAATCCGAGGCCCACATAACGTTTCGCAGTATATTACGTTGTATATTCATTAACTCTTTAGCGAGGTTACTTTCTGTGTCGGTCACCTCGATGACATTTTTACGGCTAACATCCAGTAAAAATTCTTATAAATGTCTAAAAATACTATCACTAAAATGGATTATGGTATTATGTGATAACATTGGTTCTACTACATTTGAGTGCAAAAAATAATAACATGCTGTATATAAATAGAAAAT